CCCCCGAAGCAAACCCCGAAGCATACGCCAAGGTTCCCTAACCCTAAAAGGCGGTTTAGGGTTTAGGGTTTGGGGTTTAGGGCTTACGCTTTTAGGGTTTAGGGTTTCAGTGTTTGAGAACATGTCTCCCCAAGAGAGCTGTTGAGGGTCTTTGTCTCGAATTCATCATTTGCCACCCCGGAGCTTTGCAGCTGCGCAGCACGTGAGGTCTCAGAAGGGTAAAGGGGTTAGGGGTTTAGGGGTTTAGGGGTTTTCGTTTAGGGTTTAGGGGCGTAGGGTTTCGGGGTTTAGGGTTTAGGGTTTCGGGGTTTAGGGTTTCGCGGTTTAGGGGTTTTGGGGTTACCTGCAAAGCCTTCGCCCCCCCCCAAGCCAATCAAAACATATAAACCTCGCCCTGATCTCTGGATGTGTGGCCTCTGGATGCTGGTGGCTGCGAAAGAGGACCCTTTGGGTTTGGGGGAAAAGAGCTTCAGCCCTAGGCCTGGGGATTTTTTCACCATCGAAGTGCGAGGTTGAGGCAATAACGCTGTATCGTCCTTGCATGGACTTTGCGTATGGAGACATTGCGTGATTGGCCCGCCACCTTTCCTACATAGTCCTCGTCTACTTGACAGCTGAATGCTAAAATGTTGAGGGATTCCTCGCCCCTTTCCGAGGCCAGCCTCATACTATGCACAATATGTGCATACAGATGAAATTTCGGCATCACTTTAAAACGAGGCCTTCTGAGACCAAGTGCATCCAGTGCAGCCCCATTAAAAGCGCGCATGAAAAGTAAGCCGTATTCGGCATTCTTGCCCGAATCAGCTGGTTGCACAATCAACGGTTGGTTGTAGACAGAGCTCATAAAGTGATTGATCGCCACAAGTCCTTCATAAACAGTTGTGAGAATGTTTTCCTCTTCCTCAGAGCAATCAGCCAGAATTCGCAAATAGAGGTGCTCCAAGTACTTGGAAAGGATTGTCGTGTCGGCCCCCTTGAACCATCGCCTTTTGTAAACTATCAGGGAGGGATACAACAGCTTGAATATGGGTTTAATGAAAATTAATTGAAATTTCTTCTATATCCAAATGACCCTACAGGGTAGTCTGCCATGGTATCTATACCCAAGAGATCCTTCGTGAGGCCAGACATGTGAAGGTAAGCGCCGTTCTGCTGGCACCAGGCTTTAGCACCTTCGTACAAAACCCCCAGCCGAGTAGCAAAGCTTCCCTTGCCCAAGAGATTGTAGTCGTCCAGAGTCACCTCATAGATACATTCATTATCATGGGACTTTGAATTTTCGCCTCACCAAATCCAAAACCACAAGCCTGCTTTACCCAAAAAAATGCATAATTGAATTCCAGACATGGAGCTATGGCAGACGCCACATAATCAGCCACCACACCTTTATGACAAACGTGGAAGAGGTCCACAGCAAAAAATGATGGCAGGTTGTCCGGGTTTTGCGGAATACGTGACAGAGGGGAAGGTGTATTCCATGGCAAGGGATTGTCAGCATGTAGCCAGGCAGCATCAGCTTCAAACTCGTTCCATTCATAGTTCCGCATGCCAGCTCGGCATAAGTGGCAGATTCCTCCTCCATCAGGATTGGAAACAGCATTTGTCAAGTGGTGCCTTTTAAGCCGGCCCGCCTTCATGAGGGCGGGCCAGTCCCCCTTACAGGCAATCATTATGGGGAAGATTCGGTTGATGCCAGCTGCACCATGAATTTTGACCCCATTCCGAAAACAATCGTCCACGTCCGAGCGCCAAGCATCAAATAAAGAATGCAGCACAGCAGGTTTTTTAGCATACATGCAAGAGATGAGGACAGAGAAGAGATACCTTGAAAGGTACGTGCTGCCCAAAAAGTTGTGCCCAGAACTTCTCTTCGAACCTTTGCCGCAAACGACCTGAACAGAAAGGATCATGATAGCTCTCTTCTTGTGGGAAGTACCCTCGTCCAGGTGCAACATCATCGGTAAGCATTGGTGTAGATGTTGAGGATGGGCTGTATAGACTTCATGGCCACCATTGATTTGTTTGTACATGCGCCAAAACGCTTCAAGCTCAGCAGGGCCATTGCCCACCAACAAGTGTTGAATTTTGTCATTCTTGTCCAGGGTTGAAATTATATCTCGTAGTTTCAGTGTAGGGTGGGGATGCTTCAAACCGATATCAGCAAATGTAACTGGCACATCGGCCTGCAAGCCAAACTCCTTCAGAACCTTGGGCAACCTGTTTTCATGACCAGTCGAATGAAGGTTTGCCAGCTTTCCAATAAAATCCGCTGATTGGAACCCACCATCTTCTAGTTCACGTTGCATGGAAGCTGCAATTTTGCAGGCATGGGTCTCACTTACCTTGTTCGCCATTTTTGGGGTATCTACAATTACAAAAACCCCGCTTAGACCAAAAGAGAAAAAGAAAGGAGATAACACATTCTATTCCCGGCAAGCATACCCCTGCTGCGACGCATTCCCCAATTGATCGGGCCACAGGACCAGCGATCTTCTGCCGTTTCGATGGACCTGCGCATTGTGGCTTGGACAAAACTGAATTGCGTTTTAAATGCTGGCATGCCAATTGCTGCTATAGATGCAACATTTCACTCGAGCTTCAAGCTGCATGCTGTGTGTCAAGACACAACTTTGCCGCATCGAATTGTCACATCCCAGTGTTGTAGCAACAGCGGGTTGTACCAAGAGCTCCCACCAATGACGTACTTACTATGTCCCCTATTTTAGCACTTTTGGGGGGCCACCAGTAAAAGGCTGAGGTTTTAAGTTCCGGCACTCCTAGACATCCCATGTCATACAGGTGGTTGCACTTTCCTACTGCATGATTTCAAGCTGCAAAACTGCAAGCAGCTAAGGCTGCCGAGATCCTTTGATCAACGCCGATCGACACTTGGAAGCGGGCTATACACACATAGGGTAGTGGGAGATAAATAACACCACATCTGGAGAAAAGGTATACAGGTTTGGATAGGATCACAGAAATTCACTTGGTCGACTATGTCTTGGACGCAGCCTTTGGCTTCGTCACAGATTTCTTGGGCTTCTTGGGGTTGGGGTGCATGGGGGTCGTTGCAGGCTTCCCTGCGCTCAGGGAATCATCCTTCTTATCCGCCTTCAGCAACGTCCTGCCAAGGTTCACTAGAGCAATGACAATGACAAAATAGAAGTACTACAATCAGAGCCTCTTGCATTTGGTTTCCTCCATGGTGAATCGAGCACACCTCAAGAATTCGATTGTATTGAATTGGGGTATGAAGATTCTATAAGGATGCAAAAGTATGTTGAGGGTGAGACGTCTTCTCGGCATCCGAAATGATGTTCTTGAGCTCCTGCAAAGACCTGGGAGCCATTACACATGAATAACATGGATATTGAAATACTTATAGCTAGGAGACGCATTGTCCAGAGACTTCTTGCCAACATAGGTAGCCTTGATCTCGGCAATCTGATCATGGAAGTCCGAGAACTTCACCCCATAATCGTTGATTGTCGCCAACGCCCTTAGATAGGAATCGGAGACTTCCTTTTAGAACCCTATATAATCAAATAAACCCAATAATACAGGATAATTACCCAAAACCAGAAACAACTTGAACCACAAATCCAACATGTAGAACTGTAAGAACTGCATGCATCTAAAGCTCTGCGCAGCTGGCTTTCCTGCAACCTTCTCTAACTTGTCTGCGCACGCCCGTACTCTGCCTTGAAGCCTGAGGAGCTGGTTGAGGGATTCCGCGGCATTCTCGATTGCCTCATGAGGCGATCTGGGGAGGGATACAATGGGTAATGGGTAAAAGGGTTTATGAATTCATAATGAATGGTACCATGTAGCCTCCGTGGGCTCCTCAACTTCCAGGCGCTTGTTGGGAGAGCTTCGGGAACTGGCTGGGGACCCTTTCTTGGCATTCTTTGTCTTCTTGTTTTTCTTGCTTTGCTTGGACTTTGCGTGCTTCTTGTCTTTCTTTTTGGATGCTTTTTTTCCTTTCTTGGGAGTTGATGTTGCTGATTCACTGTCACTGTCACTGCAGCTGCTCTCGTCAGAGCCGCTGCCAGAATGATCTGAACCCATCATGTCCGGAAAATCCTTGCAGTCATCCATCTTTCCTGCAGCGATGCTCGCCATCATCTTCTCCTCCCAGCATTCTTTCTGCAGGAGCTTGAGCTGACCCTTTGTCATCTCTTCCACCCAACACTCATAGACGGATTTCTCGTACTTGTCCCTCCTTTAATCAGGGCATAGGATTTGGTGATGGGGTTTTTGTAAGCCTATACGAATGTTCAGCAAGGGTTCCAGCCTCCTGTGTGTAGCCTTCCGGGAGTCATGGGAGCAGTACTTCACGATGCTGGCAATGCGACTCCTGTAGGACTTAATATGGGATTATTGGGATAATGATGGGAGATGTCATCTGCAGTAGTTTGAGGCCCCAGCTTGGAAAATTTGAGCTCCGTTCTCATTCGCTCTTTGCTGAACCAACCACACGTAACGATGAGCTCATTGGTCTTTTCCTTTCTGATAGCATACTCGACAAGCCGTTGCCAATTCTCCTGGTTGCGGCATCATGAATATCACCTGGAACTACCTTGAGATCAATGGTTTCATATAGTTAGCAATAGTCCTTGTGACCATTGCACTTCACCATCATGCGCACAAGATCCTTACGGGGTCCACCTTTGGCATTCCATCGCTTGAGAATATCCGGGGAGGCGCTGATGTTCTGTCCCCGCTTGGTAGGGGTAACCATTCTCCGAATTTTTGCTTCGCACCGCCTCCACTCTTTTGATCCCTCCTGCAAGCTTATTGATACATTATGAGAGTACAGCCCCCAATCGCAACCCCAGGCCGCATGGCCTCCACTTCCTTGTCCTCCACATCCGATTCAGAGTGATGGATCTCCAGCTTGACCTACACCGGGACTTTGCTGCAATCGGTCAGTGAAGCACACTTGAAGCCATGACGCACCAGTTGACATGGTCATGCAGTTTGTCTATGACATATGGGCAGCCATGGGTACATGGCATGTCAAAATCATGTGATGCAGCAGCTGCTTGTGCACCATTGATCCTTTCTGCGCCTACAGATCCTGCCTTGAAGAACGATTGCAAATCGCTATCAGGCACTGTCTCCTCAGCACCATCATCATCCGTGGTCAGATCCTGCGTGGTTGCGTGGAGGAAATCCGGGCATACGCTGCTCGACATCATGTTAGATTAAGATGATTTGTTCAGCTTTCAGCCAATCATATGGCATTAGCAGTCCTGGTAGGGGTCACGCTCGGCCGATTTGGGTGGGGATGCCTTAGGAGGGGGTCTCGAAGATTCGATCTTGACAGTAGTTGATGGCTTCGAAGGAGTTCCCATAGGTTCTGGAGGCACTGGACGTGCCACCCGTAACAGCTCCAGGCGAGCCTTCGCAGCCTCAAGACTTGCTTGCGGCATCTCTCTATTGTAAGCAGCCCTCACCCTTTCCCAAAATTTTACACAGCCAAGAAACAGCTATCTTGTCTTCCATGGACATGGAAGCATCTAACTCAAACTTCTGCATTTCCACCATGGATTGTCCACGGAGTAGAGTTCCGCATGACCACTGCTTAGATTTCATCGGCTTGGGTGCTTCAGAGGAGGCCATTTTGCCAACACACCTTCAATCCTTGGGCCAAGACCTTGTAATCATGTAGGCTTGGCAAGTGGGAACAACACGAAATCTTCGAAAAGCAGCTGTTGAAAGTGATGGAAATAAGCATAAAATAATTATGCTTTTGTACGCCACTTTCCTGCTAACGTACGCCACCGTACGAAGTGATGGTCACAGTGATGTTTATTAAGGTTCGCCCCAAATCCCGAAAACTAACGCAAAACCTCCCGAAACCCAAAGTGATGCAGAAATGTCTTTTATTGTGGCTCATTCATCTATAGTTACTATTTACTCGGACAAGCCCCTGCAACTCCCAGCACTACTCTTTTTTGCTTGAATTGCCTGACAGGCGAGACCGATCCTCAGAAGTCTATTGTGAAAACCTGCGCAGTAGCCTCCCATCAAAAACTATTCCCCACACAATTCACAATATTATCTTATAGTTCTGTAGAAGGGGTACCCACGCGTCTATTCAGGAGGCGGAATCTGTACTACTTGAGGAAACACAGCCTTGGGCTTGGGCTAGTTTTGGGGTTACAGAGGAGGTCTGGGGTGAGATTATAGAGTTCTTGGGGCCATTCAAGAAAAAGGGTCAATGGGCATTAAATGTGTAAATGTGTACATGTGCATATATTGGGTGGATTTGTTTCATAATTGGCCTTCGTGTTGAGAGGATTTTGCTGCCTAATCAAGTCAGGCAGAATCTTCATGAAGCGAAGACCATAGCCCACCGGATATCGCCTCCCAATGGAAACCATCAACATGGAGAGACCCATGAATAATGCACATTGCTACAATCCAAATGCCGCTGAAGTACCCTGACTCCTTCAAAGCTTTGGGAACCCCTGTAAAGTGTCTTTTGCCAGTCTTTGGGTCCACGCTGGAAATTGCCAACTTGTTCTTGGAGGCTTTCTTCCTCTCTTTTCGGGAAAGGGGCTTTGCACTCGTGAATGCGGCAATAGCTGGGCTGTTTGACCATAACCTGGTTCTCTTGCAAGAGCCAGCTCCGAATCTGCACATCCAAAATCCCGCACGATAGACCTCAAATATTGTGAAGACTGTGTATAGGCAACAAGAACTCGAGCTCAACTTTCATGAGTGTCTACCAGTACCTGATGTTGTTTACATATGAAGCCAGGGCACCCTTGTCAGTCGTAGGATTTGCTGCATGCGGGGATGCCTACAAACGATGGAGCTGGATGGCTGCTCCAATACCCAAACTCCAGATTTTGCCAGAATCAAATAGATTGCCAGGCACATCCTGCCAGGGATCATGAAATCATTGTATGATGAGTGGCAATCTTGACAATGATTGAGTGCAAAAACACCCCTGCCTGGAGCAAAGTAGATTAGCGTCCGCCACTGATTTTTTACTGCAGTCACCAAGAGGATTGAAGAAAGATCTTTGGGTGCTATGACGGCTAATCGTAACAAAGGTGGAGCAAACGAGCCCGAAGCTCACAACGAAGTCCCCGTCTTTGGCCCGCAATATGGTCAGCAAAAGAAGCCTGGGATCATAGGATAGGATTCGGGTATACTGCGGACACAGGGTTCAGGGAAGGGTCATTATAGGGGCCTGCGTGTTGCAATGTGGTTTGGGGACACCCTTGCAAAATTGGAACCCTCAAAGAGTAACCTGCCCTACACTATATATAGCCCTTCTAGTAGCCCTGCTTTGCCAGCATCCCTTTATCTAAAGCAAGAAGCGCCATTCCGGCAGGCCGAGTCAAGTCCATAGGGTTGTGTTTGGTGAGGAGGCCTCGTGCTTGGGCATATTCTGGCCAAAAGTCGATTTCCAGGGCGGCTACAGCATACCCCCCCAACCGCAGACATCGAGTGAGGGTTGCCACACCAGCAAAGATTTCGAGAGCTTGGTATTCCTCAGGCGCAGCCAAAATGTAAAGAATGAACCATGAACCCTTGTAAGCCCCGGATCCCAAGCCTGCGTGATGTAGAGGTTGCGATTGAAGAAGAGCAGCACAACCGCATATAGTAAAACCTTGGAATGTTTAAGTTTAGGTACAGGGGTTCAAAATCCATCATACACATGCAGAATTTAGCTGAGGCACTCCCGGAGCCCCAACACTGAAAAGACGCTGCAAAAGTCTACACTGCGAATTGGGAAGCATGGCTTTCGCTAAGCCTGCAACTAGCTCGTGAGTTCCAAAACTGCAGTGGCAGCAAAGTAATGCTTGGCAAACCCATGAGCAAAGCAGAAGATGCTGGCATGTGTAACCGTCCAAGGAAAGGTGGTGCGCACCTGGAACTGGCTCGGCATATCGATGGCGGAGTCGCCATAGTGTGGTCATGGATGAGTGTCACCTGGCATGGGATTCATTAGGGCAAGCTGGCATGAACATGTTGCAACTTCATGCGCAAGTGTGAGAGTATGAGCACAGCATTTGTCCCCAGCCAAAGTTCTGATGCTGACAGCGCATGCGATGCATGCTTTGAACATGACAGGCGCAGGATCTTGTAAAGATAAGGGCCAACATGACCGTCATACGTTATAAGTATATGTTGAAGGAAATCGCATCTGCTCCGCAGATCACGCTGGCCGGATATCCTTACCCACGCCCATCTGCAAGGTTTACCTTGCCACCCTTGAAAGATGTATCTCTATGGGATACCCATACTTTGGAGAATGGGGGGCTGTACACAGATCACAGCACCGTGTGAAGAAGTAGCAACGCAAGCTTCGAGGAGTCGAGGCTTCTGCAGCACACAGGCTTGAAACAGCTCCATCCCGTTTATAACTATTTCGTGATTGCTGTAACGAGTATAGCAAACTTAATCACTCATCACCGCATGCTACAGCATTCCAGCGAACACCTCGAAAGCAGGGACGCAAGCACATCCAGCATCCCAAGACTGCCCACCGACAGGTGGAACAACCCAAAATCAAGCTGCCATCCTCACTGTAGCCAGTGTAGTTGTAATCCGGCAACAAGGGCTCCTTTCCATTGCCTGCGGCCTTCGCCTTCGCCTTCGCTTTGGGTTTTCCAGCAGCCTTATCCTTGCATACCGCCTTCGCCTTCGCCTTTGCTTTGGCCTTAGCCTTCGCCTTTGCCTTCGGCAATGGCTCGCTACACTTGGCCATTGCCTTGTTCTTCGGCTTAGCGGTTGCCCGAGAACTGGCTGCCGTGCTCATACGCTTCATGGACTTGGGGGGAGGCTCACACTCATCCTCGTCAGCGAGAGCTGCTGAGGCCTCTTTCTTCTTGGCACACTTGCGCTTCTGCTTGTCCTGCTTCAACAAGTCTCGCTTGCTCCTTGTGCGGCGCGTTCGGCGAGATTGGTTTCTCAAACTCGCCCGAAGCTCATTCTGTGCAACCAGGCTCACTGGCTTCGCACGCAACTCTGGGGAATCCATCGGGGAACCTGGCTCCTGCGCAAAATTAGCATGCAGTAGTGCAGCATTCTCGGGGTACCAACAACAATCCTTACATGATGAGGCAGTCCTTCTTAATCTTCTCAGGGGAGGATTCCACATCAACAATCCCAGATGTAGCTGTTGCTTCAGCAGCTGGCTCCGGCATCACAAAGGTATCCGCCTTTAAAGGGGGACATACAATGCACTGAACGCATCTAGCGCATGCATGCATTACAAGTCAGATGAACCCTCTGAAATGTCCTGATCGGGATTGCTTGCCCAAGACGGGTCATGCTGATCTGGAAAAAGGCATCGGCGAACTCCATCACCAGAACCTGATGGGGCAAAGGTTGCTTAAAGGATATGCTCAGATTACGCTGGTAAACCTATAAACCTTTCCAAACCCACACGGCCTTGGGGTTCCTTCGGTGCTTGATCACACAATGCTTG